CCCAAGAACATCAAGGGATTGAGAGGGTTTGGCCTCACAGGTTATTATCGCCAAAATGTTCGACACTACAGTATCATTGCTAAACCTCCGCCATATTTACAGAAAGATTGTTTCAAATGGTCGAAGGCTGCTCAAGGAGCATTTTGAAGTATTGAAGGGAGCAATGGTCCAAGCTCCAGTATTAGCATTACCAGATTTTACTATACCATTTTTGTTGGAAACGGATGCCAGTGATGTTGGGGTAGGAGCTGTTCCATCCTAGTATAATAGACCTCTAGCTTATCATAACCAAGCACTTGGTCCGAGGAAGCAGGGTTTATCAACGTACGAGAAAAGAGTATTTGGCAGTCATTACTGCAATAACTAAAAGGTGCCACTACTTAGAAGGAAGGAAGTTTGTCATCATTATAGACCATGAAAGCCTGAAACACTTGTTGGAGCAAAAAATTCATAACCAGATACAGAACAAAGGGTTGGTAAAGCTGTTGGAATTAGACTTTGAAATCCAATACAGACAAGGCAAGTTTAACAAGGTTGCTGATGCTTTGTCTCGTCATCCTCACTTCTCTGCTCAGAGTAGCTATCAAGCATTTATTGTTGTCCTACCTTCCTGGCTTACTGAGAATTGAGTCCACTTATGATAATGATAGGGAAGCACAAGATTGGTTAATGGAAACTTGTATTTCAATGATGGGCCCTAAGATTCATTCAGTACATTAGGATTTATTGTATCATAAGTCAACCATATATGTGGGATCTGTTGGAAGTATGAGGAATCAGCTAATGCATCTATTTCGTGAGTATTGCAAGCAAAATATCAAAGGCTGAAGAGCTATTTCTGGTTGCCATGTAATTAAGAAAGAATTGAAACTGTTTGTCTAAAATTTTGATGTGTGTTAGAGATGCAAGGTGGAAAATGTTCCATATCCTGGTCTTCTATAGCTCTTACCCATCCCTGATCAGGCTTGGAAAAACATTTCCTTGGATTTTATTGAGGGATTACCTACGTCTCAAGGTAAGGAGGTGGTGTTTGTTGTGCTGGATTGGTTTTCCAAGTATTGTCGTTTATTTAGTATGGCCAAACCTTATACAACAGCAATAGTATCCCAAGTCTTCTTTAATTTTCCACTGCCTACCATCCACAGACTGATGGCCAGAATGAAAGGATGAACAGAGATGTCTGGAAGAGTACTTAAGGGGGATGGTGCATCATAAGCCACAACAATGGGCATGCTGGTTGACCCTTGCTAAATGGTGGCACAATACAAACTATCACAACAGTTTATAGAGAACTCCTTTTGAAGAACTCTATGGTTACCCTCCCTCTCAATTCTCGATTCAGAACCCTCTATCCACTCTAGGAGTTCCTTGATGAGTATAAGCGTCATTTCCCTGGGTTCCAGACTTGAGGACAAGTCCATTGTGAAGGGAATGGGAGTTGTAACACTTGTTCTCAATTGTAAAGAGAAAAAAATAGATAGGGACGGAAATATACAGAAATATAAATAGAGGACCAATGTGAATATTGTACACACGGGTATATAATCCCTTTCTGTAACGAATTAATGACTATCGAGAGAATAATAACAAACTTTCCCTCTCTTCTCTCTCTATAATTTCTCACGCTTTATATATGTTTCTCAGCTACCAATCACCGCCGAGGCGTTTAGCCGATCCAGGACATCACAAGATGTTCCCTAGGTTCCAGCCACTTCTTTTGTTCCGCTTCCTCGTAAGTTGGTGCTCCAGCGAGGCCAACCTCCAGCATGTGGCTGCAGCCGCCACGCAATCTCCTTGCTCCGATGTCTCTTCTGTTGCCGCCCGAAGTGGCGTCGTCGATGATTGCGTCGTGACCTGCATGAATCCCGCCCCCAGCAAACCCACCCGATGACTCGTCGTCTCAGCACTGCCTCACCAGTGGATGCGAACGCGAAGCTCACCGTCATCGCGCAGATCTTCAAGTTCCTGGTCTCCTGATTCCCCTTTGATGAAGCGAAAGGAAAGCGTAGGTCTCTGCTCGTGGTGGCGTCGTCGTCAGCGAACAACTCCGTTTAGCTCTACGTCGTCTTTATTTTTCCTCCGCCCTCTCTAACTATCGAACCCTTCCGATTCAGTGTCTTGGCCACGGTACGAAGCTTTGCTAGCACGAAATGGTTTTCCAACTATCGTCGATTCTCCACGACCCACCGACGACCCTCCTCCAAAGACCTCGTCCTCATCCTTACTCGTGGTGGCAAATGGATTGGATTCATGGATTGGTGGACCCATAAATCTAATGGATTGGTGGATTCATTGATTAGATCAAGTGGATTGGTGGATTATCCATGAATCCAAATGACATCCTAAACTTTGGTACAATATGTAAAATGTGAAAAGTTTAAGTACTAACTTGTCATAATGAAAAAATTACGGTACCAAAATGTAATTTTCTAATGATATTTCTCGTATACAAAATTAAATTTTATCTACAAAAATGTAAAATATAAAAAAATATGGGTTATAAATCATAATTTGCCAACGGTCGATGAATCTACCAATTCAATTGATTTGGATCAAATGGTTTGGATTTAAATGAATTGGATTAGTAGGATATTTTTAATGGATTGATAGATTGTATTGAGCATTGCTACCTCTAATCCTTACCCTGCTCCTTCTTGCTGAAGTTCCAGTCGTCAATCGGAGGTCTCAGTGGAATTTGGGTCGTTCTGGGAGCCGTAGCTTTGATGAAGTTGAGTGGAACGTCGTGTTCCCAGTGGCTGGTGATAGTTAGCAATGGCGAGGTCGGTTCCCAGACAACTACTACGGTTGTGACAGTTGTGGTCGTCACTAAGGCAGCAATGTCGATAAATGGTGGTGGTTGAGTGAGGGCAGTGCTGGTCGGTGGTGGCGGTAGTGCTAGTGTTGTTGTGCGTGCATGAGGAGCAGCGATGGAGTTGATTTGCGACGTCTTGGCTATGCGGCGGCAGTTGAGGGAGTGGCGTTGGGATCTCACTTTCCGCCTATCGATGACGACTTGGATTTTCTCGAGGGCTGTCTTCAAGTTGTCGGCGTTGGCTTGTAGTTTACCACGAAGAGTTTGAAACTCTTCCTCCAACCTTTTCTGGCTTGCCTGGCGTTCGGCATCAAAGGCGTTGAACCTTTATTGTTGTTTGGCACAGAAGGCGTCAAACCTACGCTGAAAGTCGTTCCAATCTCTAGTTGAGAGTTGTGACGAACTCATACTCTCAACCATAGCTTTGATACCAAATGATAGAAACAAACTTGCTATCAATTCTTTGGATCGAGATTGGTGTATGAGAATTAGGGATTGTGAAAGAGAATTGGAGATTCAGCGATTAGAAGATAAAATTGGGGAAGAACTAGGGTAGAAGGAAGAGATATGGCTGCGGCCTAGAAAGAAAAAGACGAGAGATTGAGAGATTCAAGAGAGTAGGTTTAAGAGTAGATATTCTGCTAATTGATCTTTATTGAATATGATAAAACCCGAAGTACATAATTATGAGAAATACAAGAAAATACTAATAATAAACCAAATTCGACAAAAAAACTACTAACCTTATTGATAATTATATCCTAATAATATTAATAACGACCAAGATGGAAACTCGAGTAAGTCAGGTTTCTATCATTTGTAAACTAGGTGGCGATGCCGCGACTTGTCGCGAGACGGAGATGGCCTATGGGCATGTATTATGTGACACATTATGGTGTTTTGTGAGTATTATTAGTCTAAAATTAATTTTTTGTTAGCAGTTTTGTTATTAATATTGAATTGACAATTAGATATTGACTGAGAATAGATATATGGTGGTCAACATCCAATTTAAAAAATTTAAACATTTTGGCTAATAAATGATATTTACCTAAACCCAAGTAGACTCATTGATTATAGGTAGGTATGTATGACGTATATATGAGTTTGAAAGTTTGTAGATGGGTTTGGGTAGGGTATGGATAGTTATTTTCATAATCTAAAGATGCGTATGAGTTGGGTATGAATACCCATTTATTCGAGGGTGTTTTAATTACACATACAAAAAATATACTTATTAATAGAACTTCAATAGTTAAGGTACTAAGATGTAATACAAAAAAAAATTAGGTACTAAAATGCATGGTCCATGAAACCGTACCGGAGACCGTACCGGGAAAGTCAGCGTTAGGGTATTTTATGGTAAAATCGTGGTTTAATCGTATTTCAACCGTTATACCGATAAATACCACATATCGGTATAGCCTCCGATACTGGTATTTCGTGGTTGAACCGCCGGTACGGTACGATTTAATGGACACTGCTAAAATGTAATATTCCATAAATATTTTGAGAACTTATATGTCAAAAAAATAAATTTAGGTTATAAATCTAAAGATCTATTAAGTTTAGATACCCAACTGTAATTTGCATAGTTGAGGCTTATTTCCTTTTATGTGATGTATTTAAGATGATAATTATTTACTTTTTTTAGAAAATAGAAATTTTTTTTTGATATGTATAACTGTTGAAAATTCCATGTATAATTGATGAAAATTCTAGCACGGGTGAAAAAGAAAAACTCTAGAGAGAAGCAAAAGGAATACAAACCGAAACTCGCTTAAAATTTCATGCCTTCGAATCCCATAGTGGAAAATGACGACTTTCTAATAAGTAATAATCATATATAATTGTTTTTAATTGAACTCAACATTGAGCTGAAAAAGTTAGTGATTCAAGGTTCAATTATACATTACAGTGACTAAATTGTAATTTAATTAAATTTTGGATATCAAAATGTAATAGTTTAGGCACAGTTACTTGCCTTCAACTTTATATATACTAATAATGGTACTTCACTCAAACACAAAACAGTACTTATGAAGGGCAACATTCATAGAGTTGAAGCTTTACCTCAGCCAATAAAGAGAAAATCATTCTTGCAAAATTTTTTCAATTCCAGTTTCAGTTGCAGGTAGGTAACCACAATACTACTGATGGCATTCCAATAAAGTTTCTAGAGTTGTGACTAGTATTTAGCCCCTATTTCACTCAAATTTACAGGCTGGTCGTCTTGAAGGAACTCTTGAACTGACGCTAACAATGTTTGCTCCAGTTCCAAGTCTTCCGCAGGTTGTTGGGCCTGCTGTTGTGGGTGCAATGAGTTCCCAGGCGTCGTTGAGTCCAGATAAACAACCTTGAACCCAGGGCGAGGGGATATTATCTGAGTTGATGGAGCCACTTGAGCCGTAAGATAGTGAGAGCCCAGGGGACCTCCCGACGAGATGGGCGTTGTTCTTGTATTGTCGTGAACTGCTGATGTTTTGCATGCTGCTGCTGCTGCTGCTATCCTTGTCAAGGACACCGGGGAACTTCCCTCCAGTTTACGGAAATGTGGCGAAGCAATGTTGTTAGCACGAAGCACGGCCATTTCGAGTTCCTCTCGCTGTCTCTTTAAAGAGAGACGGTGCTTCTGTACAAAAAAATTCGCTTCAGTACTTAAACTGCATGTACAGAAAAATTAACAAGGATGTTCTGCTTCTGCAAGCTAGAATTTCTTTTGGATATGATAACCTAAACCTGTAAATGGCTTGAGATATTGCCTTTGTTCAGCTCTGGCACTTTCATGTATTCAAGTATCTTCTTTGGCCTGGCATCTATAAGCAGAGTTACGTTGAATCAGCTGCCCAGTAAATAAAACAAAATAGAAATGACAGTTTCAGTGTAAATATGTAGCAAGTGAATTCATACGATCAACTCCTAGTAGATCGACGGCACGAAGGAACTTGGCATGTAGCTCTGGAGTCCAGATCATCTTGGACCTCTTTGGCTGTGGCATATAGTAATCATCTTTATGATAACTGCTGCTTTCAGTCCATTCCACCTCTTTTCTCTTGCCGACGGCTCCGGTATTATTTTCATGGATAGGCTTCTCGGAACAGTTGCTCATTCTTCTTCCAAGCTTCTTCATGGAGCTAATTTGTCTCGTCATAAAAGAGAACTGCCACAGGTTTTTTATGTCTTGCATAATGATAGGTTTGGGAACAAAAAATGCAGCCCCTTTGAATAGGCAGCCTAGCATCACATTCACACTGCTGTCAGAGGATAATACTGCAAGACCGCAGGAAACAAAAAAAAATGTTGAATCAAAATCATATGCCCGAGAAGATAAAACAAGATGATGGGGAGTCGATGGACAATTATATTCATTCACTAACCCACAACTGGCAATGACGATATTTCCCTTATCGTCTCCAGAAGCTCATATTTGCCCATGTCAGGCAAGTGCAACTCGGTAAGGACAAGATCAATTTCACCTTGTTTGCCCTGGTTTTGGAGGATGTGGAGTGCCTCCTTGGCCAACTTAGCAGTTGTAACTGCCAAGTAAAAAGCACTACTTGGAATCAACATTAAGATACCAGTGACACAAGTGATTGTACATTATCAAGGGGGAGAAAAAACCTAAACACAAGATCATCATCACACATAAAAATACATATCATCACCACGTGGAAATGTTAGACCCAACCTTTGCTTTGCTTTGCTTGGTGGTATTATCACTGCAAGAGAGGGTAGCAGAGTGAATTCCGGATGTGGGAATTCAACGTCCGAGACTTAAATTTGATTTGATGACATACTATCTATCAATCAGATAAAAAAAGAAATGTAGCTGATAGCAACGAAAGAAAAGGTGAGAAACTAGATTCGCAGAAAATCATGATGGCATGGCTTACCTGTATATCCAGAGGCACGAAGCATTTCTGAGACAATCGTCAAACACACAGAATCACTATCTAGTAACAAGATGCTGACACCTAAAGAACAATCCTCAGTAGTTTCGGATGAAAAATCATTCTCATTGTTCATGGTTGTAGTAATAAAAATTGGTGGAAAAAATTGTTGGTTCAAGCTGATACTGCTTTCACAAACACAGTCCCTTGTACTGGGAGAAGAAGATAGATGGTTCAAGCTCCATTAGAGGTCACAAACACAGTCCCTTAAGCTGATTCAATAACGATGGACAGTCTGCAGGAACAATTCCGTGCTATGAGATGGTGAAGGTTAATTTCAGAGCAGAAGGTCACCGGAATAGACCAATGAAATCAACAAACTGCAGGTGAGCAGACTGACTCTATACCTCATACCTTCACACTGTTTTTCTTTTAAAGTCGAACAGTGTTGTTGTAAGAGTAAACCATTCAACAACTTATATCTTAATTAGTACATTGTTGAAGGCCTAAATTCATAGAGTCAAAGTCAAAAAGCATAATTAACATTCAAAGTCTTAAACATGACTGCCATAAAAGAACTGACGGGAAGAGACCAGGTCATCCACGCAAGAATATCTGACAGTGCACCATAGTTAGCATTTATGCGTACCAAACATAACTAACTGGTCAGTGTTTAGCCCAGAGTCAAGTTCTGATGAGCTAATCTTCTGTTATTTACTGTTGAAGAAGAACTAAAGGAGAAAGATAGTGCCCATTCCCCGAAGAAAGACATGTAGTGATTGAGTATATGGCTTTAAATTGCAGTAGTAGACCAAACCTAATGTTATTTATAAATTACAAATGGACAACTACACTCAGTGGCGGATCCAGAAATTTTTTATAGGGGTGTCCTCTTTAAAAAAATAAGAAAATAAAATAAATAATTCATAAATAAGAAAATACATGACTAGTACAAATTTTAACAAAAGGCCACGACGTGTTTTCATATTCTGAAAAAGAATATAAAATATACTCGACGTCTTTACTGCTCAACAAATCTATATATCATACTAGACAATAATATACGAACTGATCTCATATTCGAATTCTAACCTTGTTCTTTATGTATCTCAAAGTTGAAAAACTCTTTTAACTCTTGCTGTGTAACTATAAAATCAATTCAAATTAAGGATAACCCACAATTAGTTTAGTTGTTAGGTATTGAAAATAGTTGGGGATAAGCAATAATGTTTTTACTATTTCTTAGTGTTTAAATAGAACAAGAAATGAGTTGCAACCTAAAGAATATGTTTAATAATAATAGTGTCCTAAGTTTGAATAACACAAACTACCATTTATAATTTTTCAATCTTACACAAACAACTATCGAGAGTAGTATAATCATTTTTTTCAAATTTAAGGGTGTCCCGAATTACCAATTATAATTTTTTCTTCATACGAAACTACAGTCGTGGGTTGGATAATCGTTCTTCCAAATTTTAGGGGTTTCCGGGGACACCTCTAGATGTCCATATATCCGCCACTGACTACACTTTACACCATGGAGGAGGCCACTCTACTCCATTGCTCACAAAAAGCCCCTTAAGCTACGCTACCCTAGAGTCGGGTGAAATGTTAATTCTCAGCTTTATCTACATCCAAAAATGTCATTCTGAGACTAAAAAGCTAAAAGCAACAGCTTTACATTACAGCTTTTGATATCAAATGACGTACTACTTGAACAGAAGGTGGCATCTAACTGACTTTGGAAGAGGTGATGTAGAGGTGCACATGATTTCCTTGTCTTGAGTTTCAGAATGAATGGCTCCTTCAGTGACTTGCACTTTGCTCGATCTATAAAATTCAGTAATAGAAAGTTGGACGCCTCTTGACTGCAGGTTTCTCGACTTATTACCGGCTCCTCCAGATCTTGATCGCTTTCTCTTGGATTCTTTAAGTTCCTGCCATTTTTCCAGTAGAAAACAACCCGTTAAGAAGTCCAAAGAATCCAGATGCAATACATCGTACAATCCAAAGACCCGACAACCTGGTTTTTATTTTCTACTACATGGCCTGCAATGTTAAATTATTGAACTCGAGACAATTATATGCCCTTATCTCATAGACAAGTGGATATACATGTGCAGAAGTACCCCAACTAAAAGGTTGTTGATGCAATTCGATACTGACTAGGGATGACAACTTTGCCCATACTCATGGGTTTCTTACTATCCAACCCAATTGGGTTGGGTATGAATTATGAAATCCAAATAGATAAATATGGGTAGAGTTGATGGGTTTGGACCCTTACCCATTTACTTTGGGTTGAGTTGGGTTTATATCAAATGGATTTGGGTTTGTACCCATGCCCAAATACAAATTACAGTTTGGTACCCAAACTTAATAGATATGCATATTTAGTACCTAAATTTAATTTTTTTTGCATATAAGTCCTCAAAATATCGATGGAAAATTACGTTTTGGTACCTAAATTTTTTTGGTCTTACATTTTGGTACCTAAACTTTTCAAGTTTTACAAATAGGTCCAATTTTTGCATGTGTAGTTAAAACACCCTCAAATAAATGGATATCCATATCCAACCCATACCCATTTAGATTATGGATGCAATATTCATACCTTACCCAAACCCATCTATAAACCTCCAAATCCATATGCACTTCACCCATACCCAACCCATTATCAATGAGTCTACTTGGGTTTGGGTATAATTACCCATTGGTGGGTAATTTGCCATCCCTAATCCTGACTTTTTAGTCTATTATGAAAACACCCTGCCACTAAGCCTTGCAAGCATCCAGAGCCAGTGGTTGACACTCAGAATGTGATAGTACAACATTAGACTAAATTAATAAAGAAATTACAAATTGGCTTGGACCAAATAAAAGTGAAAGAATCAAAACTTTTCCAATAAGAATATACTAACTTCGTCTGGAAATGCAGCACGGACAAGTTCCATATGTTCATCTGTTAGCACAAACTGACCCTCATTATCAACATGAACCCCGGTTTCTTCCCATCCATTTGAGCCATCCAAACTCTCATCAACATTCTCCACAATCTTATCTTGCTCTTTATTATCAATAAGATACAAATTGCGGCCACTGCCAATTAAGGTTCCTCCTTTCCTCCACTTCACGACATAAGCTTCATGTCCGTACCTGATCTTTATGCGCTGAATTGAATCAAATTCATATTGCCCATTCAACAAGGACTTCTCTCTCTGTTGTGCCATTTCTCTCAGGTATATGGTGGACAGCATAGGAAGTAACCTCTGTCTAACATAAGAGGGCTCCCATTGTTGTCGAAACACCAAAAGGTCAACCAACATGTCAGTTTCGGTGTGTTGCCATGAAATGCAGGAACCACCATATGGTTTACACAAGAAAAAATATCTCCAAGGTTACAACAATAGTCAAGCTAGGACTTGATTGTTTACATCCCCATTTAACATCAATGGGAAAGGTAAGCAAAGGTTCAAAAGCTATGGAAAAAAGCATAATTCTTATCCTTCATAGTGCACTGAAACAGGGTGATAAAGTAACATAAAATATAAAAGTCTACATAGATCACAAAATCATATCTCAAAAGGCTTCACAAAGAAATCAGTTCCGAGAGTCATGTTAGTGTCAGTGTAACTGCATGATGAGAAATGAAGGAGAACAAACAATCTTTGTTTTGATCAGAAGGTTCACCAGTTATCTTTCCATTATCATTGCACAAATCCATCTCCATTATTTCATCATTTGGGAAATTCTACTCCCTGGCAATCTTCTCACAAACTTTCGTGTACCAGTTTTCATGCCTTTTCAGCTGTCTTGCCTCACTCTCCTGCCAAGTCAAAGTTCACATGTGATCCTATGCCCACATGGATTTGATGCATATTGGATATCGCCTTAAAAAATAGGAGATGATAAAGCAACATGAACAAAATGGTCAAACATACTCTATCACAACATGTGCAATTGCACCTAAATCCATTTGGCTTTTTCATGCAACCATCTCCACCACTGGGATGACAATCAACACAAGATGAATTTGAATGTGCTCTCTTGCTGGCAGGATGACCACAAACTGAGTAGTGAGCAGGTCTTGATTTTAGTGAGCTGTCATCGGCAAGAAGTATGGGATTGGCTACAACTTTTGGACCACCCTGAGGAAAAGGGGTATTCCCACTGCCAATCTCACGCAATCTACAGAGTGAAAAAAGCTATGCATAAGGAAATCTAGTATTTAACACAAAATGAGGAATTGAGCTTGGAGGAATAAAGAAAATATGACATTTGGAAGTGGCCAGAATCTTACTTATCTAAGATTTCTTCTTCACCAAAACTTTGAACAAACCGAAGAGCATTATCGATGCCAATCCCTTGAACTCCACTAAGATCATGGTCATTTCCAACCAAGAGAGAAAGGCTATTAGATGTTCCCTCTTTAACCCAAGACCAACTTCAATATCTGACATACGATAGCATTCAAATGGCTCCTGCAGAAAGATGTCAATATTAAAAAGTTTTATAGTTGTTGCACAGAATTGTTTGTCATATAAATCATTAAAATTCCAAAAATGAAAGAAATTACTAAAACTCACTTTAGAATTGGGTTTGATGGACTTTATCACGCACTGGGCACCAAAGAGGAAAGCATCACTATCAGCAGTTATACAGGCATCTACATACCCCTCCCTATTCAGCTGAGCACACAACGCTTCAGCCTCACCGTTGGCCTGAAGAACAGGCATCCCAAAGTGTTTGAGCCTAGAATGTACTAGGCGGCTATGGGGCTCCGATCTGAACTCCTTCGTCTGATCTCCTCGGGAGTGGAAGAACCTGTGAGGCGGGGGGCGGCCCTCGGGATCTACGCTCCGACGCCAAAGTTAGTACAATATAGGAGTGTGTATGGTATGTACAGAGATAAAGTTGAGAGAGAGACCTTAGGAGAAAGTGAGGAAGGGAAGAAGAGGATCTTTGGCTTGGAGGCTTTGGCCTCCTTATATAGAGCTTGGGCCTCCTTGAGTGGGCTTGGGCCCG